GCACTTGATGGGATTATTTTATATGAATGACTGATATGCTAATGCTGACACTTATTGAACTGGGACAATGCAAACAAAAACATCACAACTGGTACATTTTGTTACGCTAAAGATCCAGTATTACACTATTCTCTGATCTATGTTGTAATGTTTCCTCAGCACAAACAGACCCGGAGTTAGGTTTTGTTTCATTCACACATGTTTAACGCACAAACAGAAAACACTCTGTTCCACCTTGTGATGTCATGGGGTAGTACAAAAAGTGCTCCACTGTGTTTTTAAAACTCCATACGCCTTCAATAGAATCATTTGGATGATTTCAGCCCTGGAACCACCAATCTCTACTGAACTAAAGGTAAAAGGAGCTGTGAACTTGAAAACTACCAGTTTATGACATCACAAGGTGGAACAGAGCATTTTCAGCATTTTGGAGATGTAGACTAATAAAGGATTACTCAAACATGTGTGAATGAAACAAAACACAACTTTGGGTATGTTTTTGAGGAGGTAACAACATTCTGACATGACTTAAATCTCAAAAGACTCACTTTTGCGTAACATAGGACCTTTAACCGTGACTAAAAGGAGCACTTGAAGAGATTATTTTATATGAATGCCCATATTCTAAATTTACTGTATTTTCCACACTATTAGGCGCTCTGGATTATAAGACGCACTGTCAATAAATGGTCTATTTTCGAACTTTTTTCACAAATAAACCGCACCGGACTTTAAAAGGAAACAACAGTTGGTTGGGTGAGTGGTTTTGTTTGTTTGTGGCGTTCATGGTGACTCCAGGCTTTGTTCAGTTGTGGCGTGTAGGGAGGGTGCTGTCTGGGACCGCTCAATTGTCGGCGTGTTCGCAGTGACTCAGTTGTTCAGTTGTGTCTAGAAGTGGCACATTGCACTCGTTTTTTCGGTTCATTCCTCCGTTCCGTTCCTCGTCGGTGTGGAGTGATGAGTGTGTCTGTGGGTGTGTTTCGCTGCGTGGTCGCTGTCTGCTCCGTGTGTGTTTGCGTGCGCTGCAGGAAGTGCGGCTTTGTAGTTTACTGAAGTCATGCTGGGACACCCGAGTGGATTTGTGTATAGGGCACTCTGGATTGTGGGGCGCGCAGTCGTTTTTTGATGGGGTTGGAGGTTTATGAGCATGACTTATGGTGCGGAAAATACGGTAATAGGGACAAGGCATACAAAAATGTTATTCTATTGGTAACAATTGGTACTCTAAAAAAGTATGGCCCATCACAATAATTACTAAATGACTTCATTCAACACAATAGAAAGAATAAGGCTGCAGCTAACCACTACTGTTAGTGCTGTACTCTTTTTTTCTGTACTTTTTTTGTGCCATTTCTACAGCCAGGCAACAAACATTTTTAAAGGGCATACTTATCACCTATTTTCTGAAATCTGTTGGAAAAGTCAAATACAAAATCACAATGTATTGTCTTGCTCATAAAATTACAAATACTTCTTTTTGGTCAACTTATGATTGAATATCTTTTGACGTTATTTTGATTTTGACATTTTCACAAAGAACTGCCACGCCAGAGTCCTTAAGTTTTAACAGCCCCTAGATCTGCTACCAGAAAGGTTCCATAGTGCTCCTTTAATTTGTGCCAAAAAGCTCCAAAAAGTGTTGACCCACAAACCCAATTACACAACGCCATCGCTCTCGTCTGAACTACCATTGCTCCAAATGTGGCGAAACAACCTCAAAACAACACATCATTTTTTCTACTAGGGCTGCAAGATTAATAACACTCGAATCGAAATTGTAATCTGAATAGACGCAACTGGCAAATAGCAAAGTAGCATCATTTCTTTCTTTCTTTCTGAAATGTGATTCTTATATTAGTTTGTCAGTTCAGATTTCAGTGTTTTTGTTAATTCTTCTGGGCGTTTTTTAATTGTGAACTTCGAACCTAATCCCATCACAAAACACAAATTTGATTGCAGTGTTTGTCTGAAAAATTACAATTCAATACCCCCCCAAGTCGTTCAGTCCTCATTCCTACTATCCCCAATCCTGAGCAAAATAATGAAATGACATCTGATTGAACCAATGATGAGTTTTTCATATTGAGACGGTGTAACTCGCAATATCCCCACAGCACAGAATACGCACAACACGGGCAATATTCAAATGGTCTATAAATTATACATATACTGAGGCTGCCTGATCTGCGACGCATGTAATTCCAATGAAGACGCGTTCTGCATGTGTGCTAGATGCTAATGTGTTTTTATTAAAATCCATGTACAACGAAGAACTCTGCAATATGTCATTCCAATATTCCTTATTATTATGATCAAAGTTTCTTGAGTTATTTAAGTTCAAACTATATTATGGATGCATTTCAGCTTCATGTTATTCTGCAACATTTTGATGACTTTTCTCCCTTTCAAAATGTATAATAGTGGGTTTTAAATGGTTAATCGCTATGGCAACCATTCATATTTTTTCAACATTCTGAAACTCATGGGTAGCATTCCAGACTGAAGCATCAACAGGTTAAGTGAGCAAACGGCAGACTGTATTCGTTATGGCTGAGCGATATGGGGAAAAACATTTGACTGATTTTTCTGGCCAGTAATTGTGATTAGATTTGGGATTTTTTTTTATTTTTTTGTGATTTCTAAAGTTCACATTTCAAATATATCCACACAAAAAATGACAAAAAGAAATCTGAACTCCCACACTACTACAAGAATCAGAGATCTTTACACTACAGGGTTAGCAGTTTAATGCAGTTTAAGACAGGAGATTTTGTTGTTTGTTATTGACAAATTGTAAAGACTGCAATTTTTCAAAATATCATTTATTTTCTTCCACAATTTAAATTGGATTCCTTGCAACCCTGTAATACGAAACTAAATTGTTTATATTTTACTAGCATTTCATATTTCAGTCTTCTCCAAATCATTCTTCCTGAACACGTTCAAAGTGTTCTCTGGGAAGTAAATTTTGTAAACACAATTTGCAAATGTGAATCGCCTTCACACTATTTGTCAGGAAAAAAAAAAACTAAAATTCTTAAGCCCTGCAGCAAACATTTCCTTTTTCTTAAAATGTGCATTGAACTCGACGTTCTATGCACTGCGTCGCTCATCGTATGACTCATAAAAGTCAAAAGGCCAGACTTGTACACCTGTGCAAGCGGGGAGACAGTAGTCGCTTCAAATAATAGCTACATTTAAACAAATATCTATAATTTAAAACGAATAACAATCAGAATAACTAAGGCTTGTAGAGCACTGTATTGTAGTGTTGTCACAATACTAACATTTCTACTTAAATTTCAAGCTCAACTGTGATACTTAGGAATAGACTCAAATTGAGTATTGAGTATACTGATCCGAATACCACGATGATTTAAAAAAAACAACACTTTATTTAGATAATTAGTGATTTTTAACATTAAATGGTAGTACTTTCTTTTCTATTCCCATGTGGCCTTATGTGTGTGATCACTCGGTGGTCCAGGTAGGGTCCATAGTGTCCATGTGTGTATACTAGTCCATGTTCTCTTATACTTGTTCTGATGCACCTCAATATCATTCAAAAGCTATTCAGGAAAGGCTCATTTCTATCCTGTAAATGTGTTTTTTTGAGTACTGATAACTGCAAAAAATGAGCACCTAATTTCGATTAACATCTGATTTTCTATATTTTGACCACCCTTCTTCTTTATTTTAAAATTCAGTAGCCATTTTGAATTCACACTGGCCACATACATGTTGAATTGTGCTCATTAATCGGCAATGCAACAAGTAAATCTCAATTCATTGGTTCAAAATAAAAGACTAAAAACATTGAATTCCTGTAAAAGGGGATTTATAGAATTTATAGAAAAGGCAGTAGCACGTTTATAGATTTATTGCAGAAAGTAGATAATTAACCAGGATCAAGTCTATTTAAAATACTACTTGTAAAAACTGAAATCTGTTTGTTATGTGAAACTATACACAGCTACAACGCTCGTGGAAGGGTTAAGAGAAGAGATACGAGAATCCAGTGTTATGATTCATTTCCTATAGGTGCACGTCTGAGCCCTTTGTCCCATTTTGCGTGATGAAAACGTGGGTGACGTACAGGTGTGTGGGTGCTGTTCCCGGATCTAGCATCATCAATACAATACATTATATCACCCCAAGCGCTTCTTGCAGCACGGAAAACATGAATCTCGTAGTAAGTGCGCGGTCGAAATGGTTGTACGGATGCAACGAGTGGTATTGGTCGTGCAGTAGATGATTGTAATCGATAAAAGCGTCCTCCATACAACAGCATCGTGGTCACAACAAACGCTATTACCCAAAAGAGCCGCGCGCAAACCTATGGCACAAGCAAAACAACGCGATTCCAAGCTCCAATCCGATCATTTAACACGAATAATTCACGTTTTGCGGTGTTTATTTGGCTCCCCGCTGTCACCGTGGATAGTAGCAGCGTTCTGAGACAAGACGCTCTGTTCTCGATGGCGAAGGTTCAAATTCAGATCAAATTTAAAGCCCCGTATTTGGAGATTTCGCTTCGTTTCGGCGCCGTGGTTTCGTAAATGCGCCAAAAATGAGCGCAGATGTTTAGATAAACGTAAACACCGCGTGAATAAACAGTATCGTACAGCGAGCACGACACGGAAGGAAGGAGAGCAGGGGAAGGTCCTGTTAAATCCCCATACACACACACACATACACACACACACACACACACACACACACACACACGCACACACACATGCACAATGCGAGGCGAGGAGTAGTGCGTGCTTGGATAAATACACGCCAAAACGTCACTGTACAACCAACATAACCGCTACTACTTCTCATAAAAGCGACTACACGTGAATAATGGACGTCGTTAGTCAAATGTAGTATTTAAATATCCAGATAACACACGTTCGGCCTGGGTTTGTTTTCCCGTGGAGGCCTCTGTGCAGCCGCGGCATTAGCGCAGCGCTCGCCTCCCCTCCACAGCCGCTTTGTACCGCGTCTCTTACCAGGTCCGAGGGCTTCCATGGCCGAGGCCTCTCTCTCCGTCTCTGTCCCGGCCTGACGGCTCCGTACCGACGCTGAAATTGGGGGCGGTATCGCGAAGCTGAAAGGGGACTATTTAGAAAACGAAATAAAGGTAAACGCGAAGGTGCCTGCCGCTTGCTGCTGCCTGCGCTGGACTGAACTGTGCTTCTGCCGCTGCCGCTGCTCGGGCTGGGGATTTGTAACTGCGCATGCGTCAGGGGACAAGCGTTTGCCTCCCATCTGCGCATGCGTAATGTAATAATAACAATAATAAATCTTTATTTATAAAGCACTTTTAAAAACAAGGTTTATAAAGTGCTGTACAAGCCGCAAAGAACAATACAAAAGCATAAAAATAGCATTCACAGAGCATACAAAAACAGACAATGATGCAAACAATCCAATAAATTATAATAAATAAATAAAAAGAAATAGAATAAAAAGAAATATGGAATACGATCAAGTTAAACCAGTCAAAGGAAGGCCAACCGATAAAAAAGGAGTCTTAAGAAGTGATTTAAAAGATGATACTGATTGTGCGAGCCTTATCTCCTCAGGCATGTTGAAAAGGCTCCATCAGCCTTCATCCAGAGGTAGGACTTTGGAACAGCAAAAGGGACCTGCCTGAAAATCTAAGGCTGAAGAAGAACAGCCAAAGGGACCTGCCTGAAAATCTAAGGCTGAAGAAGAACAGCCAAAGGGACCTGCCTGAAAATCTAAGCTGAAGAAGAACAGCCAAAGGGACCTGCCTGAAAATCTAAGGCTGAAGAAGAACAGCCAAAGGGACCTGCCTGAAAATCTAAGGCTGAAGAAGAACAGCCAAAGGGACCTGCCTAAGGATCTGAGGTTGAAGAGAAACAGCCACAGGGACTTGAGGATCTAAGGCTGTAGAAGAACAGCCACAGGGACCTGCCTGAGGATCTGCGGCTGCAGAAGGCTCCTTCAGGGTTAAAAGTTCTGAAATGTAACTTGGTGCATGCAAGCTTTAAAAGTGATTAATAAAATCTTCAAACTGATTCTAAAACCCAAAGGCAGCCAGTGAAGGGAAGTAAAACAGGGTCATGTGTTCATGTTAAACCCAGTGAGGAGCTGAGCTGCTGCGTTCTGAATCAGCTGGAGATGGGAGATGGATTTCGAGGTGAGGCGAGAGAGGAGGGAGCTGCAATAGTCTAGCTGGGAGAAGATGAGCACGTGCATGACTTTTTCAAGATCAGGGCGGGAGAGGATAGTTTTGATTTTACTAATTGTGTGGAGGTGGAGAAAACAGGTTTGGGTGACTTTTTAATGTGAAGGTGGAAGTTGAGGTGAGAGTCAAAAATGACGCCAAGGTTTCTGGCTGCAGGGAAGAGGCTATTGCTGATATGGGAAGTGGAATGTACTGACTTTTATTTTTATTTACCTCTTTTTGAGTATCTATTTTCGATCAGTATGTGATTTTTGAAACTGCTGACCACCCTGCTGCATTGGTTTCAAATTTAGTAGCCATTTTGAATTCATACTAGCCACATATATGTTGAATTGTGCTCATTAATTGGCAACGCAAGAAGTAAATCTCAATTCATTTGTTCAAAATAAGACTAAAATCATTGAATTCCAGTAAAAGGGGATTTATAGAATTTATAGAAAAGGCAGTAGCATATATAATATATATATATATATATTATATATATATATATATATATATATATATATATATATAATATATATATATATCCGCAAATTAAAATTCAATTTTGTGTTTATTTATTATTTATTTATTCATTCATTTAATGCAGACCTGGGCATTGTCCAGCTCCCGGGCCACCTACGGCCCTTTGGTCAACTTTGAACGTCTCATTTAAGCTCATTTGAAATGACAAAATAAACATTTAATCATTTTACCTCATGCATGGACTAAAGCCGCATTGCTTTTATTTTAGAGGTGTTTTTTATGACATTTTTTGTAAGGCAACCTCACTTTTTCATTGCTTAGTCATAACGTAAACTCTTACCAGTCTGACCAGATCTTCAAAACTATTTACTACTATTACTATTACTACTACTATTTACTATTTACTGCTTTTTATAAAGAAATACATTTAATATTATGCAGAACTCAGTTAAGCATTTTGCTCCATTTTGACCATTTTGTTTCAGAAGAGCATTATTCAGTTACTCCACAGCCAGTGATGGTAAGTTACTATTATAGCCACAGGTGCCCTGGGGCAGACCGACGGAAGTGAGGTTGCCAATTTGTGCCATCAACCCCTCCGACCACCACCATCACTCACACACACACCACTTCCATACAAGGCAATGTGGGTGAAGTGCCTTGCCTGAGGACACAACTATAGTTTTTTGCGACTGGCGCCCCCCTGTGGCATCTCATTTTCCCAGCGGTCTCCCATTCAAGTACGTAGAATCAGCCCTGCTTCTGAGAGCTGACGGGATTAGGCTTTGATAAACTGGTATGGCCAGAAAGAGCAAGAACATAAATGTTAATACTAAATTAAAAATAAGTCGCAAAATTATCAAGAGATTGGTGTCAAATACGGCATAATTATATAAATGTATAAAGTAATTAAAAATAAAATAATGATACAAGTATAGTTCAAGAGATCGTAAGGACAAAACTAGTGACTAATTTATTCATTCATTCTTTTATTTACGTAATTCCGTTTATATTTTCTTATAGATATAAGCACCGCCCGCCTGCCCTGCCCTGGTTTATTTTGTGAACGACTTTCTGAATCACTATTCAAATAGGGCGGGTACTTTGAGTCTATTCGACCAATAAAAAAGCGAGAACAGGCTGTCCAACCAATCAGAATCCGAGAAATGGATTATTGACACCTTAGTGGAGAAAAATGTTCCAGCAGCTGTCACGGCGCGCGAAATCTCAAAGGCTGCTTTAGTTTGTGGAAGAGGCGGGAGGACCAACTCAGATCCGGCTAAACATCGTCTAAATGCGCTTTGGGAGATTAAAATCATATTAACTGCACGGACTTTTCATTCCTAACATCTGCAGTGGATGTAAAAGGTGGGGAAAACGCCGGTAAAGTGTGTGTTTTTCGCCAAAACCGGAGCGAATCCGGCGAACAAAGATGAGCCTGCAGGTTTCTCAACAACAGGTCAGTAGTATTTCTTCAGCAAAAACATCCAAAATATCCTGCAGAGGTTTGTGGCACGTTTGGATCTGCAAATATACACGCTAAGTTTTTAGAATATGAAGAATTATTGTAGATGGTGTCGTTTTGATTCGGGTAATGATGTTAACTTTAGCTCCAACGCTAGCTTTTATCCTAGCTTTGTGTTCTAAACTTCTACAGCTGTAATCGCAATCTTTAACTTTATTTGATAACTTTATGACGATACTTCACTAAAATGAGTCAAAAGGCTTAGTACTTATTGTTTAGGATGCAAAATGTTCTTAGGATTCTCTATTAAATGGTCAATTGTACGTATATTGTTTGGCTATAGCAGCTAAAGTTGCTCCATTGAATATAAAGGTTCTTCACTGCTCATTGTTTAGCTTTGTTTACTACACGAAACCCCCCAAACTGACTTACAAGTACTTACCTTAGAGTCGAGAAGGCTGTTTCTTTGTAGCTGTTATCTAGAAAGTGTGAAAGAACCTTCTGCATTTGTATCAGACCTGGAGGAATCGAGCTGGAGGTCTCTATTGTTGAAATGGCGCTCAGAGAATAAAATGAATAGACCTCATGTGACAACTGCTAAATTCTAATAAAACTCTTTGACAGCAAAATATATGACAGCTTAAGTTGCAAAAGAAGTGGAAAAGCATTGTGTTTACAGTAAAAAAAATAAAGTTACCCTCGGCTACGATTACTAAAGCCTAACTATTCATATCACCAAACAGTAACACTGGTGACATTGCTTTACGCTTTATAAACATTTTGCATTACTCTACTCTACTAACGGGGTTTGTTTATTTTGTTTAGTACAGTAGTTCACAACGTTTCACGTGATGTTTGGCTTTTTGAGTACCACCATCATACCTAAACTGGGGCTGAACCAGGGCTAAAATGAGAGTAAATCATGAATAAAGTAATTCTAAATGATGATTAAATAGACTTTGGTTTGACTTTGATAAAAGCCTGTCACAATAATGCAACAGAAAATATTGCAGTAATGATAAAGCAAGATAATCCCATGTAAATGTACAATATTACCTTGTAAACAAAACATTAGCTACAACAAATTAATGGCACAGTGCAGCCCTTTAGTAGTTAGTGTCGATGGTTATAGTTTACCACAACCATCCCACTGTACAGCATCTGGGCCACATACGGCCCTTTTATTGACTCTGACTTGCCCATTTAAGATCATTCAGTTACAAAATAAACATACAGAACAGAACAATGCTATTTACAGTTTTTTGTTTGTTTTTTTTGCATTTTTTTATATATTAAAAAACAAAAAACAAACAATACATTTTATGCAGAACTGAGTTAAGCATTTTGGCCCGGCCCTCCACAATATTTTTCTGTTTCTCATGTGGCCCCATGGAAAAAATAATTGTCCATCCCTGGTTTACAGCAACAATCTTATGTAACTACTACAAAAAAGTTCCCCACAGATCCAAAAAAAATGTACTCATGATAAATATTAAGCCCTAAAAATGATTGTACTTTCTATCATGTACTGAAGAGTAAGTTGACATGGTCATTATCGTGACAGGCCCACCACCTTGTTTGGCCAGATTACTTTCTGCCTGACTCACCTCATCTGCACTTATAATAGTCACTGTTTTATTCAAATGTACAATAAATGATCACTGATGAAAATGTGTTGTTTCCAGGTGGAGGCTCTCCCTGCAGTGGTGCGGACTGTGGCTGAGAGCGACTCCGACAGTGGGATGGGGTCTCCCGCTGAAGAGATGGTCCCAGAGGCAACAGAGAAAACACAGGAGCAGCCAGGTCAGTGATACAGTGATGAGGTCTGCTGTGTAAAGACAGGACGAGGAGTCAATATCGAGGATCTGATGGATGGAATAAAAACAATAACACAGGAAGCACTATAATTGTGCTCCAGGCCATTGTACTGTGCAGTTGTCAAAGCTGGGATTGAACCACCAACCTCTGGTTATATCAGAGAAATAGATATTCAATGGATTTATTGCACTCAAAGACAAAAAGAGAAATAGATATTCAATGGATTTATTGCACTCAAAGACAAAAACTTTCTATGCATTGTTTGTGAAATCCCTCAGTCATTCAGGTTGTTGACTGGACAAAAGGTTTTTTTGGTCAAACGTTTCACTGCTCATCCAAGCTGCCTCTTCAGTTCTGGTCAGACACTGGTGGACACTTCCTTACATCTGCCTGCAGGGAGGAGCTAACTACAACTACTCTGAAACTACCACACCTACTTGTTTACAGTTTCTGTTTGTTACCTAGGTCTATTGAACTGTGCTAACTTGATAAAAAAACAACAACATTTGTCCAGTTGACAGAATTTAATTTCTCCTTTGTTACGTTCTATGCATTCTTACTATGAGCAGGCCTGCGTTTCCACAAATTTCGACTCTTACTTGGTCTGGCACGATGGCTCAGAAGTTAGCACCAATGTTTTACAGGAAGAAGGTTCAGGCCTTTCTGTGTTGTTTGCATGTTCTCCCCATGGCACAGGGCACTCCGCTCTCTCCATGTCTATTGCACTACCACTTGACCCACTGTTGCTCATTACATTCTGTTAATGTTTTCTTTCCATTCTCTTTTTCAGATTCTGAGGAGGACGAGGATATTGGAACTCACAGAAAACCGCGTCGTCAGGCCATCAGAGACAGTGACAGTGAGGAAGAGGAGGCAGCAGACTCCAGTGTTCAAATGGCTGAAGCTCTGATGCTCTCTGCCTCGAGTGAAGACGATAACAACATGGAGACTGGAGAGAAGGATGAAAAGAAGGAGAAAAGTGTGAAGAAAAAGCACAGAATCAGTCGCGCTCCTGTGGACAGTGAAGAGGAGGAGGGAGAGGAAAAAGGGAAGACACAGGAGGAGACAGAAGGTGGCAGCACTGAGGCCAAACCCAAGAAGGACAAAAAGAAACGGGACAAAAGTCAGAGGCACAAAGAGAAAAAGGAGAGACACAGTAAAGCTGTGGAGAAAGTGAAAAAGAGAGAGAGAAGAGAGAGAGTGACGGAGGAGGTCGAGGTGAGAGATAAGGCATAATACTGCATCATACATCTGTATTGATCTCTGATAATAAGATATTTTTTCCAAGCTGCCCCAGTCCCTGGAGGAAACTTTTTCACAAAATCTTACTGCTGTTCAAATTGTTTTCTATATCACCCCTAAAGCCAGTTACCCCTTACACGAGAAGCATTTAGTCTGTTTCTGTAAACATGAATTTCTGTCTGTCCGCAGGAAGCGCCCTCTCAGCCCCGTCTGAACGACAGTGGGTTTCCTCTGGGAGACACTGAACTGTTTGATACTGGACTCAATGAAGATGATGAGGAGGAAGAGTCTCTGGATGCCATTAGAGCCGCCGCTAAGAACAAGCTCAAGAAACACAAGGTAAGAATGGAAAAACTCTAAATCCAGTATCTCATTAAAGTTTGATGCCCAGGTTTAATTATCTATTCTATTGACAATAATCAATAAAAAAGGTGACATTTATTAAAGTTACTAGTTTTGTTATTCCAGAATGTAATGTTATACATGCCTTTCTCCTTCAGAGAGGACAGATTTATTTATTTTTTAAATCACTTAAACTGTTTAATTTGGTTTCTTTAGGAATCCTCTTTTGTTGATGATGATGAGGAGGAAGAGGGACAAGGGTCAAAGGAGAAACCCCAAAGAGTGGTAACTTAAACCTCTCAGAAAACAAAAATAAACCAAATTGTAATTAAAGTTTTAATGTTTATCTCTGATCTCTATCGCTGTGTTTTCAGGAGCGAAAGGCTGCACGGGCGAGTAAAGAGGCCATGAAGCAGCTCCACAGTGAGTCCCAGAGGCTCGTCAGAGGTCAGTCTAGATAGTAAATACATGTGATTATTTAGTTTTAAGATGTTTTGAATTATTCTTATTAAATATAAACTGTATTTCATTCTTTCAGAGTCCACCCTGGGTTTGCCGTACCACATCCCTGAACCGAAAACCATTGACCAGTTTTTCAAGAAGCGAGCCCGACCTGAGGGACCAGCCATGGCTCTGCTCAAGTAAGGACACTAGTGCTTTGTAACTTTTCAAACACTTTCAACCTTAAGGTAAATAAAGCACTTCACAATCTACTGGGGATGCAACACTATAGGGCTAGGTAGTTATATTTTATACTATATCATTCATTCTCAGCGTAATATATAGTAGAAATTGACTAAAATATCACTCTTAAAACAATTATCGGTTGTAGTCCTACCATATAATTAGAAAAATAAATCTGCTGAATTGTTGAACCGTGTAACTAATAACTTTTGTCATCTTTTTTAGATCTACAAAATACTCCGCCATGATGCTTGTTCCACCTCCTCCTCCCACGGCCGACCCTGTGCAGACCTCCACAGACCCAGACCCCTCAAATCCTTCTTTAGACCTGCCCCAAGTCCAGTCTGTCCTCCCCCAGCCCAGCGCTACATCCTCCCCACAGAAAGACACTCTCTCTCAGTCGCAAGAACCACCAATGCCCCCCAGTACCTCCACAGCCAGCCTGGAGGAAGACCAAGCGTCTGGACCTTTGCTTTTTCTATCAGAGAGCTTACAAGAAGATGTTAAAACTGGGGATGAAGACGCAAACGAAAGCCAAAATAATGCAATGTCGATTTCGTTGGTTGAAGATAAGGAGATTCTGATGGAGGGATGTGTAGAGGAGGTGAAGAAGGAGGAGACGGTGGAAGTGAAGCCTAAAAAGGATAAACTGTCCAGGCTGAGAGAGCTGGGGCTGGACCCTCCTCCTGTGGCTAAACTGTGTCCAGATGAAGGAGCGTTTGTGCATCTCGATCCACCACAACCAAACTCTGGTATGTGTATTTTTGATGATATTACTTATTAAAGGGCCTGTACCTTCTGTTTTTCACTGTAAAAATGTGAAAAACAGAAGTAGTTCATTTAAACAACTTTCAGAGACAAAAGCAGAGGTTTGCAGTCACAGTAAAACTAACAATGATTAGAATGCTAACCGGCATGTCCAGACCGTGCACAGCAGAGTTATTTGGACCTCAAGAGCTGCTTATACACTATATAATAGGTACTGGGGCAAGACACATTTTGTTCAAATACATGGAGAAAAATAAATTATTATAGGCCCTTTTAAATCTGGGACACTTGAAGTTTTTGGTAAATTTTGAGTACATTTTGTTTTCCCTTAAAGAGTATATTGGAAAAGCAGCACTTTGTGATAAAAACAGCACTGTCTGCATCTAATAATAATGTAATTAGTCTTTTGTGAGCCCAGAAGTAAACACCGAGAGCAGCTCTCTGATTAACTGTTTGGCTTCATTTTATTTCACCATCTGAAAAAAGCTGTTCTAAAGCTGTGCACATGTCTGAAAATGTATGCATGTGGATATTAACAATGTGCCAAAGAATTTGAAAAGGCTTGTAAAGAGATGCACAGTTCAAAATGCATACATCCTCCTGTCACTGCTTGAGAATCAGGTACACCTGATTTAAGATCATTCCTCCCACAGTAGGATTTATTGGTAGAATAGAAATGCTGTGTCAGTAGGCCAATAATATTGAATACACGTGTGGAGAAGCTAATATTGTGCAAATTTTTTGTTTTGTTCTAACACAGCAGTTTATTGGGTTTAGTCACTAATAGAATGATCAGATTGAACATTTGTGAATTAACTTTTGGATATTTTCAGTACAATGTACTCAATCAAAGAACTGTCTCTTTCCCCCATCTGGGAGACATTATCACATTCTAGAATCTGAAAATCACTATTACATATTTAAGTTACTCCAAGTAGTTGAAGACCTCATGGAGACTTGAAATTTAAATATCTTTCCATCCCTGCTTTCATGTAAGATCATGTCTAAAATGGCTGTAGTTTGCTTGTATGACGTTGCCTCTTCTGTACAGGTGTGGAGTTGTTGAAGGCGCGTTACCTGCGTCACATTAAAGCCCCGGTTCAGCCTAAGAAAGAGCGCCCCCTGCAGGTGAACATCGTGAGGAAGGAGACCGGGTCGTCGGGGAAGGAAGAGCTGCTATCAGAGACAGTGACAGTGACGGTGAAGGAGGGAGGAGAGGAGAAGCAAGCACCCTCCAAACCAGGTACAGGACTCATATTGTACAAGCACAAACACGTTTACATGTTGTGTAGGTGATTTTGCACAGGTAAACTGTACCTCACTTCTGTTGTCTTCTAACTTGTCTTTCGCATTCAGAGTGAATAATTAGATTCAACTAATTATTCACCACAATGACTTAGTGCTTTTCACAACATTCAGAGACCACAACAGAGTTTTTCTCTCATGCAGTAATACAATAACTAGCATGCCAACAACACACTACTGTTTCTTCTTGGTTTACAGATGATAAAAACACTTGGATGCAAACATCACATAGCGGTTTCTTTTTAGCCCCAAAATAAAATGACATTATATCTGTACAAAACCAATTTTACATTCTTACATGACAAAAAATCAGGTACAGCCCCAAGACTACAGCCTTTTTTAGTAACAAAGTAATCAAAAATGGTATTCATTTTGTTAATCCCAGAATTCTGAGAAGGGACTGTTGTTGTTGCTTAATCTGTGCAAAGTTCTTTCCACTTTTGTGTATGTCTGGCTCGTTGGAACCTGTTATGAATCACATTTTGAATCATTTTAAATCTTTTGTCTTGGCACAGGAGCAAAGCTGTTGTCTCTAAAGGAGCGTCTGCAGTTGGCAATGGCCCAAAGGAGGAAAGAGGAGAGAGCGAGAAAAGCAGAACTGAACCGACTGGACAATGAAGAGGATGCAGAGGAGGAAGAGGAGGAGATGACAGACTCTGAGGAAGAGGTGAGGGCGTGGTATAGACAGTAGATGTGCATTGCCCTGAATCTGGTGATATGATACACATCACGATATGCCTGTCACAATTCAATTTATCTCAATATATCCTGATACTAAAACAAAGGACGATATATTGTGACTTATCAATAACTATGTATAGTATTTTGGTCCAGTACACATTCACAAGAAGAAAATTGAATGAAATACACCTTATTTAATTTTTAAATCATGAACAGTAAATTGAATTTAGGGGTGGGCAATATCTTGATATTTTAAATATATCAAGATATTTTATAAACTCGATATGGATTCTGACATATCGTATATATAATATATAATGCGTATATTCAATTCTAATTTCACCGCTTCGCTTGTTTGCCTTCTCTGTCGTCGCCCCCGCGCGTCCCCTCCTCTCAGATTTTGCTGCTCCTCACTACTGCCGTGACCGAAAGTTGGTGCCCGTGAAAAGCTTCTAGCGCCACAAAACTTTTCCACCATTTACAGACAAGACCATCAGCAGCACAACCTCTGTCACAGAGAGAACACTCATTTTCCACTGAGTCGTGTTCTTTAGTCCGAAAGAAGCTGAACCAGTGCACTGTTTATGCAAATGAGCCATGTGGTTTTAAGTTTTGTTTATGTAAAATGTAAACAAATCTGCGCAAAACTGCATTAAACACATGATAATCTCAAACGGCTGATGTGGCCCTATAGTTGTCATGGTTTATATGTTTATTTATGCAGAAGATTTTAATCAATAATTTGCTGCAGTGTAACTTGTACAATAGTGTTTGGAAACGTCGGGTTTGATCTGCAGTGGATTGTGGGAAACCTCATGGCTCCTTATGCTGGTGAGGAACATGGGCCTGTTAAAATGAGGAACCTCCCAAGTTTCCTCTGCTAAAGGAGCTCAGGGTTCAGGTTATCGTACGGTTAACAGAGTTAATGCAAAGATGAGCTTGAGTTGTTTTATTTATGAATGAAAAGAAGGCAATATGTTTAATTACTTGTTTTATTTTACTGTTAAATTATTATTTATGTAATTAGGGATTTTTTGTAATCTTAAATGTGGCAGAAGCACTTTGTTCCTACATGAACTGCCAACCTCTTGCATTGCAATAAAAAAGACCTTGTGGAATTTGGCATATTTGTTTTTGCAGTAATTTTAGGGGGTTATTTTTCCTGTACAGATATGAGCTATATATCGTATATAGAGATATAGCAAAATATATCAAGATATATTTTCTGCTCCATGTCACCCAGCCCTAATTGAACTTATGAGTTTTTCATGAAAAACATACCAGTAACTTTTAAAATGAATTCCGACACATGTTGAATCGATATAAGAATTTTAAATTTGATTCATTCATTATTTATTCCATGATAAGTTGAGTCTTCATAATGTGATATATAACATTGCCAATCTCACCCTTTGTCTGATTTTTATCCAGGGAGTGGATGAGCTGTTGGGAGGAGACGATGGAGAACCCGAGGAGGAGGGGGAGGATGGGAGTGTCGTGCCCAGCATCAGGAGCCCATCTCCGGTCACTCTGTGCCGAGCTCCTCCCACTCCGGAGCTCCTAAACACAGATGGGACTCTGCTGCTATTTCCTGGAAACTCCTGCTCACGAACCGGGTACTGGGATATACACTTTGTTATCTATAATACACCCACTCATACAATTATATAGCTCAATATAGGGCATTCAAACAGTAGCTTTAGATGTTGATGCTTTGAAAGAGGATATAATTAATCCTGTCACAATAATTACCATTTTGACTTGTTCAACTTATGATAAAACAATACTCAATACTTTTTTTTTTCTTTGGCCTTGTATTGTAAATAAAACCCTCCACAGCATGACAACTGTATACATTTAGAAAAGATTTAATGGATTGTATCATATTATTTTTTTAGTAATATATGTAATATATTGCATTTCAAAATGTGTTTTTGACAGGCCTGTGAACAGTAAAGTAGCTAACCTTTTTTTCTTTCTATTGGTAAGGCTGACCTTGTGAGGTTAAAATAAAGAAATATAAAATGTAATAATTATTTATTGGTAACTTTGCCCTCCTTCTACTAATATTCCAGTCTAGTCGGTCTAATATACAGGTGACCAAGAAAACCTCCTGTAATTAAACTCACGCACTTATTTTTATTTTTATCTGAAAGTCAAACGCTTTATTTTTCAGTGATGGCTTAAGACGACCAGGTGCCTCTGGACAAGACAGCAGCAGTAAAATCGGTGAGCAACAAATATTTTGCATTTGACTTTTAATTTCAATGTAGAATATGTTTTTATTTACTAATAATCATTTCTTTTCCAGAGGAGGATGATTCTTCGTCCCTGATGAAGGACAGTAGTCACAACAGCAGTTTTGAGCTCCCTGGTTCGATGCTCACATCGTATCAGCCCGTGAACCGCAGCGCCCCCAGAGGCCTGCCCACATCAGTGTTCAGGTCGCCCTCGCCCTCGCTGTTCAGACCCAGCTTCCTCGGCTCTGCATCAAAAGTGAGTATATTCAAATGGTCGTAATAAACAAATCATAAAGTCTGTCTTTGTTTATCCTTTGTGTTATGTTTAAAATCTGTTCTGAAATTATTAAACCATCCCAAATCTGTATGTTTCTCTAAAAGCTAAAAAGTAACTTATAAGTCACATATCAGTGGTGCAAGCAGCAGAGTTTAGGTGTTTTTATTTTTGAATTTTTATTTTTTTTTAATATATGTATGATTTTTCAAAAAGACCATATAGGGCCATAGGAATCCAAAAAAATCTAAACTAGACGAGTTAGAAAACCATTACAACTGAATTTCACATAATATTTCTGTATTTTAATTCTTCTCTCCATTCTTTCAGAGCTCCTGTAAACTCTCAGAGCCCTCTTTGTGTTTGCCCGTTGAGGACTCCCAGGACCTGTATGCTCCTCCCTCCCCTGACGCCGACTCTGGCCCGCTCGGAGGTGAGGCTTCTGGGCCAAATCTGTGCGGAGAGTCCCTGGGGCGCTTCTCCCTGGAGGATGAACCACACTCTCAGCTGTTGGACGCAGACGGCTTCCTAAACGTCGGACCCCGAGTCGGAGCACCGCGGTCCCACAAAAGACAGCTGATCCTGGGAAGTCTGGATGAGAACGCCATGGACGCAAACATGGGGGAGCTGATGGGGCTGTGTTCGGGAACGTTTGCGGAAGAGAAGACGCAGAGATTGGGAGAAGGAGAGGATGAACTCATGGGGCTGTGTTCAGGGGCCTTCCCACAAACTCAGGCTGAAGACGGAGATGAGAAATCAGGCAAAAAAGAGGAAAATGAAGAGAATGAAGAGGGGGATATGGAGCAGTTGTTGGGTCTCTGCTCTGGAAAGTTCCCCAGTCAAAGTGAGTAGAATATTTACTGAGCATTTATTTGCTAAGTCAGAATTATAATGTTGTCTTAAGAACTTTGGTTATTTTCATTTGGAGATGTATTGTCTTTATAAAGTGCTTTCTACCGTGTTATACCATTGTTTCCTAATCAAAAACATGCCTAAAGAGATTTTACATGTCATCCATGCATGTTTGAGTAATCTAGCGATCTCTTTTAGGCCCTGTTCCAATCCTTCTTACAGTTAGATGTATGATCCTGTACAAGGCTCCATCCATAAGCCTACATCACCCATGCTCCCACATGACAATTCTCCTTAAATATACAGAAACATGATACTAAACTATACAAAGCAACTTGACAAACCTGATGTGATGTGCAGGAGTTTCATTAGTGGTTCTGATTGTGTTGTGTAGTGCTCTGAAGGGGGAGTGACTTAGCTTAGAGAGCAAAGGGAAGGGAGATATAGCATTTTCAAAACAATAAAAGATAACACTGTGATCTAAATATGTCATGTGTTTAGGGCTGGGTATCATTAAGAACTTGCCGATACAATACATATCCTGATACAGTCCACTTTTGATTCGATACGATATATTTCAAATTGATTCTATACGGTTCAGTAAAAATAGTATATGCTAAAAGTCTGTTAAACCACTTCTTGTGCAAAGTTCAATTGAAACACAAACATTTTAACCCTCAAAACAGTGAAAATGTCAAATGTGTCACATAAATGAGTTTCCTTCCTCTAAACGAGCAACAAAACTATAGCACTGTGACAAAATAATTTAGTAAAATGTACCAAAAAAACACTCTTGTCGGTATATGGATACAGCAGCCCACAATATTGATACTTTATCATCGCATTAAATTATACAATATATCGATATTTAGATATATTTGCATGTGTTAGCCGTTAATACCCTACATTAAAGTAGACCCTCTTTAAACCCCCCCTTAGAAAATGTAAAAAATTTACCGTACTGTACTGTAGGGCACTCTGGATTATAAGGCGCACCATCATAGAATGGTCTATTTTTTTACTTTTTTCACAAATAAACCACACCGGACTTTAAAGGAAACACAACAGTTAGATGAGTCAGTGGGACTTTGTTTGGTGCGTTCACAGTGACTCTGGGCTTTGTTCAGTTGTGGCGTGTAGGGAGGGTGCTGTCTGGGACCAACGGATTGTCGGCGTGTTTGCAGTGACTCAGTTGTTCAGTTGTGTCTAGAAGTGGCACATTGCACTCGCTTTTTTGGTTCATTCCTCCATTCCGTTCCTCGACGGCGTGAAGTGATGAGTGTGTCTGGGTGTTTTTGGCTGCGCGGTCGCTGTCTGCTCCATGTGTGTTTGTGTGTTCTGTGGGTGGTGCGGCTTTGTAGTTTACTGAAGTCGTGCTGGGACACCCGAGTGGATTCGTGTATAGGACGCTCTGGATTGTGGGCGCACAGTTGTTTTTTTGATGGAGTTGGAGGCTTAAGAGAGCGCCCTATGGTGTGGAAAATACAGTAGTCGAGTACAATTGTTTAAAGTTTTTTCTCCTATTTTATTTTTTTTTTGTAGGTCCTCAGAAGGCATCACCCGACAAAAACAGGTAAGTTTGATTTATATAAAGTCCAACCTATTTCTATTATTTCTATTTGGCACTATTTTAATGTAATTTTTATTTTTTTCAAAAATATAGCGCCAACAAACCAGATGAGGAAGAGAAGAAGCATGAGGAGGAAGAGGACAATTATGAGTTTAAGTTTCTGTCTGATGAAGAGAGCGAGACAGGCCAGGTCTGTGTCCTCATACAAAACAGAACACTATAAACGTATGTTGGTGTCTCATGATTTAAAAATGTTTGTATTGTAGAATGATGAAGAGGAGGAGCAGGACGAAGAGGATGAAGATGGTGAGAGCAGTGGAGGAGAGAAGGAAGAGGAGGATGAGAACCATGAGGTGGAGGAGGAGGAGATGGAGGCTGTGTTTGCTCCAAAGACATCCAAGAAAAAGAAGAAAATGTGAGTATTGTTTAGCAAACAACAATAACAAAATCCTTATGCCGTAATTTACTGATTTTGCTAAACTTCAATGTCAAAGTAGATTAAAATTTTGAGAAATAATTGTTTTAACATGAGTTTATTAGTATCTGAAGATCTGTTGGATTTTTGTTTATGTGCATTCATGCCGTAAATGATCTGAAGTTGAGTTCTCCTGTGTCTGTGTCTCAGGCGTCTGGCAGATTACCTGGAGTCGGAGGCGGAGCTCTCGGGCTCAGACGTGGGCAGTGAGGATGAGGACGATGGAGGAGGAAGTGAATATGAAGAGGAAGAGCTGCTGGAGGATCTGCCCTCTGACGAAGAGCTGCAGGACCAAGTTAATAAGATTCACATGTGAGTCAGGACACTATCTCACTTTATTATTTAATTTCAAAACTCCACGTGAGTCAGGATAACGTTATTATAATACTGTTAAGATACACATGAGTGACACAAAACGGTTCTACCGCAAAGATTATTTCAGTTGTCTTGTATAACCAAACCCATTTATTTTCTTTTGCTTGACTAAAATCACTAAGACTTTGTTGATCCTGGTTTAGTCCTGATGTAGACCTGGTTTGATCCTTGTGTAGTCACATGGCTTAGTAGTAGGACTTTTTACTTTAGTGTAATCCCCAAATAAATGTTAGTTTTGTTTTGTTCTCTTCAGGAAGCAGGTGATGGACGATGATAAGCGCAGACTGAGGCTGTATCAGGAGAGGTATTTGGCCGATGGAGATCTGCACTCAGATGGACCGGGACGAGCTCGGCGCTTCAGGTGGAAAAACATTGGTAAGAACACTTTTAATAGTCTAAAACAGGGGTTCTTACACTTTTTGGCCCAACTTTTATGTAAAAAATAACTTTGTTAAAGGGCCCGTCTCATGCAAAATAACTCTTTTCACATTGTATCTTCTACACATAAACAAGCACTATTTGGGTTTGGGAACATCCATTACACAATAGTTCTGAAATCTTACTGATTTCTTGGAGGCGTCACAGACCAGGAACTATGAAAGGCCGACTATTGCTCATCCCCCCGCCCGTCCTGAGAAAACACAGGCTCCGCCCTCCAAACGTGACGTAGGCTCTGAGTGAGCCGCCCTTCCTCCACCCATCTCAGGGAGGGAGGAGGAGACAGGCATGCACCCTGATAGTGGTAGAAATAAACTTTTATTCATCATGGTGATACAACACGTTCAGCCGCATGTGTTGGACCTGGAATCGGACGAGGACTTTGAGGTGCGCGAAGCTCAAGCACCGCGTCCACATCAGCTGAACATTACTGATTGGTAAAGTATTAGTAAACACTGGTGGATAAACTTATTATATCGTGTTCACTGCAGTGTAGAACAATGAGCTTAGGTGTTCATGTGGGAATTGTCACCCAATGCGGGGTGGATGCCGGGCGGAGGGCGGAGGGGGGGGGGCGGTGTGAAGTGCTTTTTGCTACGTCAAACACAACATAGGTGCAGCTGCCGTGTCATCGTCATCTCAGCTTTAGTTCGTTGTCACGTGGGAGGGTGGCAGAAATACACTGCAATTTGTTAAATGCTGAATCAATCTAAAAACCACTTTGGTGACATATATAAGGCCCACACATCACTCTTAGAAGGTAGAAAGCTCTGAAAAGGTGATTTTGCATGAGATGGGCCCTTTAAGAATCACATCATTGTAATCTCAGGACGCATTTAAAAGAAGTGAACACTACATGTATTCTCTGTTCTTTCAGATGATGGTTTCCTGATGGACACAGAGGGGGCAGAGGGCGGAGAGGAAGAGGAGGAGGATGAAGATATGGATCAGACTGAAGTCCAAAGACGAAGGGAGAGACTGGAGAGAGAGCAGTGGCTCAGAGAACAGGTCAGAAATCTTCAAGATTCCCAATTATAAATGTATTTCTTTTTACGAAAGCTGAAGTCTGAAAGCGTGAAGTGTATTGGCCTGTTTGAAGAGTCTGAAACCCCCCACGCCTGATACTACCTCACAGAGAGATTTAATGTATAAAAGGGCTCATGTTATTTTCTCATCTATGTTCTAATGTTGTTTCCTCATCACACTTGAGCTCGGAGTTGTTTTGTTTCATTGACACATGTTTAACACACAAAAGCTGCAGATTTAGTTCTTCTCTCAGACAAAAAGGAAACTCATGTAGTAATAGGAAGTGCTCCACTCCATACACCTTCACTAAAATCATAAGGTAGTTGTTAATTGAAAACTACAGCTTCATAACATCACAAGGTGGGATGGAGCATTTTGAGGTCTGGACATGTAGACAGACTAATAACACTAGTCAGTGTGTCTGATGACTGTTTATGGTAGCCAGGCTGGTGCCACCTAGTGCCTCTGCTCAATTTAATTTCTCTCCAGCGACTAAATCAGGAATCAAAATACACTAGATGATTCGCAAAAACCCCGGAAGTGGGAGTTCAGGCAACCAGCCAATCAGTGAAGAGTCATATATTCAGTGTTGTCAACGATTTCTGAGATCAAGGATTTAAAGAGAATGTTTGGTGAACTTTAGCAAGGTTAGACGTTATTGCCCTTCTGCCTACGGGATTTGGGAAAACCTTAATATACCAGTTAGCCCTGTTAGAGGCGCATTACATACGTCACGACCAAATAGCAGCGATTGGATAAATGATAAAAAGTACCCTCCTACTGTCAAGCAAACAAAATTTAAGGCTGCGAGGTCAGACTGTTTGTATGAAGTAAAACGAAGTAAAACCAGCTGATAAATCAGGCTCTGTTTATGGAACATCATAATCTAAATGTGGAGCTTCTGAGTTATTATATTATTTTGGTCTATAATTCTTTATTTCTGTTTCAGTCTGAGCAGAAATCCAAAGGGAAAACAGTCGATATTGACGCAGACGATGAGAAGTTTGGAGACGAGGACAGTCACTTCATGAAACTGGCCAAAAAACTCACAGAGAAGAAACTGGAGAAGAAAGGTGCGATTATTTTTATTATTAAACTGAACTATTGCTCCAGTCAATTAGAAAAATTATCTAATCAACAACCTGGAGAGGCACAAATTACAAAACATTACACACAAACTGCTGCTTTTATTCTTTTTCTACAGATGAATTTTTGACTGATGAATATTTTAAGATGTTCGTGATTGATCCAAATTACATAGTGTATTTTGTTCTTCATCTTAAAGCACCCCTTACTGAGCTTAAAAATATACAGTATATATATATATTTAGTAAGGGTTTAACTATTTAGAAATTTCACAACCTTAGCTCTTATTCTTCACTGTGTTTAAAAAATATGATCTCTTCTTTCAGAGCCCCCAGTGGTCGTTCCAACTGAGAAAAAGTCCACTGTTGCCTTGAATCCTTTCCAGAGACCAACACAGAACCTACCGGTATTTATTTACACTACTTCTTCTTGTTCTTCCCATCTTAGATTTGTAACTTCTCATACTAAACTTGTGTCAATGTGATTAAGCTCCATAATAGGGCTGAACCATTTGTGAAAAATATCAAACTGAGAATCTTCTGATTAACATTGAGATTGAGAGATTAGATTTGCAATTTAAGTTTTAATAATGCTTCAAATTTCACATATTAAAAGTTTTTCAGAATTAACAAAAAGATGAAATGACAAACTAATAGAACATCTTTGTACAAACTACAAACTAACTCACTCCACTGTTAGCAGTTTTTATGCAGAAAAGGATGAGAGAGTTTGTTAACGTTTCACCAACTCCAAGTCCAAGTGGCTTCAGTTCTGGTGTTCAGTTGATAGAAATGATTTTTTTTTTTATTCGCTGTGGATCATACCTGGACGAATTAGTTGTTACGCAGACACTGTTTGATGGTACTTGGGAACTTAAATTTCAGAATTTCTGCTTCTTTTTGCGTCCCATTTGAAACAGTGATTTTGGTTCATTTGTGATTAAGCTTGTAGATCTCATCCATAGTGTCCCTCCTGCAGGTGAAGAGGGGCTCTCTGCTGAGTCAGCCTCAGGCCATGCTCCAGAAACTGGCCTCTATCTCTGACGGAAACCCTTTGGCTCCAAGAAACTCCAGAGGATTCCTGTTCCAGACTCTATCTCCAGAGAAAGACAAATCTGTGGATGACAAGAAGAAACAGGTGAGAGTGAGAGAGGGAGGAAGAGAGAGGAAGTGAAAGATTAAACAAATGCACATTTTACATTCAAGTTGTGTTAAAATGATTTAGCAGCATGAAGAATGTGGGGTTTAATTTAGTGTTCAAAACACTAGAGGGAGCCAAAGCCCACACTCTTGTCTTGCACTTCCCTTAGTGATTTTTGAAATAGATTTAATTGTAAGTCTTTAACACTAATAATTCAAAACTACATATTCTATCTTTTGAATGGTTTAAGGTTCTCAAATGTTTCATATAACTGGAAGCTAAAAGTATGTAGAATTTGTTGTATTTTCAAATGGAGGGCAGGGGTCTATATAATATTAGAGATTTCCTGTTTTTGAAAGAAAGACCCAAACTTATCATTTGTGAAGAAAAAAAAAAAACATTTCACTTCTGTTTATTTATGCTGACAGAGAAGACACTGAAGTTTTTGTTTCAGTTGTTTCAGTTACACAGCAAACTCAGCTCAGTTTAAACTATAGGGACTCTAGAATGTTGAATCAAAACTACATTCTTGTAACCTCAAATCTGATTTTTTTTTTATTTTTTATTTCTAGGTGAAGAAACGTGGTCCGTCCGACAGCTTAAACTCTGCGTCTAAAAGAATTTGTCAAGAAAACAAACCTCCCTCCTCCTCGTCTCACGGATCTCAACGAAGTGTGTTCAGTTTCCTGGGACACTGACACAAACCCACTGACCCTCCTCCACTAACCTTTAACCTTTAACCTTTAACTCAACTACAATCTAATCCAGCAATCACAATCTCCTCCAATCATCTGCGTTTTGGGCAAAGATCTTCACTCACAGCTATTATAAAGTATGCTTAATGTAACACTTCTGCTCGTCTCCATGGAGATGATGGAATTTTCCACAGTATGGCATTAAACGTCTATTCTCTATTTCTACGTAAACAAGCTGTTTAGAGGTGAGTCTGCTCACAGTGAAGATATAGATACATTTAATGCTAGTCTGTGGAATATTAAAGGCAAATAATTACATTTCAAACTCCATGGAAACGAGCAAATGGCCAGAAATGTTACATAGTGCACCTTTTAAATGTTGACTTTAAACAAATGCATTTAACAGTATTGCCATAAATGATTTGAAGATTCCTGTCTTAAGAACAAGCAGGATGATAAATGGGTTTGGATTTGAAAATGATGTGTTAGAAATGACTTCATAAGTGGTACATTTTCATTGATTTATTTTCCACGTTATGTCCAAAATGACATATTTTAAATTATCAGAAGTTTCACCATCAATCCACAATGACATATGAAACAAAAATAACCAAAAAATCTGTACAAAAATCTTGAACCAGACACTAAACTAAGTCTAACTCTGGACTGAAACAAGGTCTAGATCTGAGGTAAAACCAGGTCTAAATCTGGGCTGAAACCAGCTCTAGGTTGGGACTAAAACCAGATTCTAAATTGGGGCTGGAAACCAGGTCTAAATCTGGGCTAAAAACAGCACTAGGTTGGGACTAAAACCAGGTCTAGATCTGGGCTGAAACCAGGTCTAGATCTGGGCTGAAACGAGGTCTAGATCTGGGCTGAAACGAGGTCTAGATCTGGGCTAAAACCAGGTCTCAATTTGGGCTCAAACAAGGTCTAACTCTGGGCCAAATCCAGGGCTAAATTTGGGCTGAAACCAGGTCTAAATCTGGGCCAAAACCAGGTCTCAATTTGGGCTGAAACCAGGCCTGGATCGGGGCTGAAACCAGGAACAAATCTGTACTTTTCCAGAACTAAAACCAGGCTTTCACTAAGACTGAACTTCACTGACTTCACTTTTATTTTTTTTGCCTTGGTTAGTCTCTTTACTGAAACATAATGCATTTATTTAAAGTCACCATTTCTCTGGAGTGTTAAATCTCGTTTACACTGGCTCAGAACGGGGACTTAAACCAGTATAATTTACTTGAACTGAGATATTTCGTGGTGCTTTTGAATGAGTTTGCGCTGATGCCTCGACTGCTCTGTGTGTGTCTGTGTTAAAGTTTTTATCATGTAAATAAACCTTATGTTTTTATGGTTAGAGTTTTTAATGGTTTTACCTGTAAATAAAAGTGTATTTAAAGATTAATTCCTCTGTTATTTCTTTTTACTTCAATTTTCTAACTACATTTACATCATAATTAAATTCTAGGGATAATTTGAAGTTGATAAAACATTAAATAATGCACAAAATCTGGTATTTTCAAAGGACAGACAAAAATAAAACAACATCTGAAGGAGCGCTGCAAGAAATATGTTCAAATCATTTCAAATTGTCAACATAAAGCTTCAAAGACTCAGAGTAGGGAGAGGAAGCATTACTTTTACTCGAGTACTATTACACAGTACAACATTGGAGTAAAAGTACAGGGTCTGAAAACTACTCAAAGTACAATTTTTACAAGTTAATGGTCCAATATGTAACTTAAACCACATACTTCAGAACATTCAACATGGAGATAGATGTGTTTTATGACATACTGTGGAAGATTATACACTGCAAATTTATCTGATCTAAGATTTTAAAACTTATATCAGATTATTCATCTTGTTTTCAGATTTATTATCAATTTACTAGTTCTCAATTGGATTAATTCTAGAGGTAGTTAATTTGTGTATTTATTTTTTTCACACTAAAGCTTATGGGAAACAAAGGCACATAATATATTGTACTCTGACACAGCCCGTCAACTACAGACCCCTTTCCACTTTTCCAAAAATATACAAAGTCACTGTACATTTGTTATAAGAAGTATCAAGTTTGAACAAAAAAAGCTTGGTAATAATAAGAGTAATAATAATTAAACAAGAAAAAATACAATGGTTTCATCAGGTCACACTTAATTCAAATCTGATCTAAACGTGGCAACAAACAGTCTCCCAGTTTTCCAATAATTGTCAAATTTGTCAAAATCAAGTTATAAATTGTCAGTTTTTCCGCTAAGTAAATAGTCTGGACAATATTCATGCAATACTCAAGGCAAGGAACTTAATCACTAAACTGTTTTCTTGTAATACACTTCTTTCCAGCAGCCAGTAGTATATAATAAATATACTTTTTCTTACGTTCTATAAGCTGAGCAGGCCTTTTTCCAAGATACAGTGTCTCAAAATTGTGCGGTAAAGTAATTTTTCAATACTGCTCCTAACCTGGGACTAGAATTTTTAAAGTTCTGGGCATTCCCAAAATATGTGATAATGGCTGGTGCTCCCCGTGAGCTCGTTTATTTCAAGATAATTTGTCAAGTAAAATGATCTTGCTGCATGAACAGATCATCTTATTACTTTTAAGTCATTTTCTGATAAATTTCAGTGTTTATATCTTACATTTTGGTAAGCTTATGTAGACAAAGGAACAATATGAGTCAGGTTTGTGGAGATGTAATCCCTCACAGTAAGTAAGGACAACCAAAATGTACAAACATGTTTTTAATTTTGTCTATTCTTTGCAGAGGTGGAGACTTGCAAGTTGTGACTTGGACTCGAGTCAAACTTGAGTCACTATTTTTAGGACTTTGAGACTTGACCTAATAAAATAGACTAAGACTTGGAACTCAACTTGGACTTGAAGCTCAGTGACTTGGAACTTCACTCGGACTTGACTGTGACTTGAGAAGACTTGTTGCTTCTCCTAAAAAATATATGTGTTTAGAAAATACTTTTCTCTTTACAGTTGATAAATGCTGTGCTGAATTTTACAGGAAGAAACTGAAACATGTTGTTCCCACTTCTCTGTTTGCTACTGTGGATGGAACTGAAGTATTGTGATATAGTATCCTCAAATGTACTACAGTAATATACAGTAGAATACAGCAATATTCAGTTCAGTACATTAAAACAGAACATGACCCTTCCATTTCAGAGCAGATAAAATCACTGATGTTAAGCACTTTTAAATCTGAATTATTTTTATTCTGACCGTAATGATTCACACTCAGATCTTGTCAAGATGTTTAAAAAGGAAACATTTGTATTTCTAGAACTCTTATATAAATACTCAGATATGAATATACCATGACTTTTTAAATACAATTTATCTTAAAATTCAAATAAATAGCAAAAATCTTAGCTGTATTTGGTAATTTGGTTAAGACTTGAAATGACTTGAAGCTCAAAGCAGACGACTCGGACTTGACTTGGACTTATGGCACAGAGATCTGAGACTTGATTGCACTTGCCTGTATTTGATTGGGACTTGACTCAGACTTGAGGTCAAAGACTCGAGACTTACTTGAGACTTGCAAAACAATGACTTGGTCCCACCTCTGACTCTTTGGCTGAATAGTGTGTGTGTTGTGTGTGTGTGTTTGTGTGTGTAACTTGGTTACTATAGTTTGATCTTGCACCCTGACCCCTGTCTACCTGGAATTTGAACATTATTCACTTTTAATGCAATTCACGTCATATAGTACAGCAGGACATAAATCAACTCTTTTCAAAAATTGTTTCTATGAAAAAAATCCTGCTTTATTTCATAAGTAATGGTAAAGCCTGAAAGTTCTGCTTTGTGCTGATTTGAGGAACAGTGAAGAAGTTTGGTCATAGCAGTTGTTTCCCTCTAGATACAAAGGTCGTCTTGGGCTTAAATTGAAGTTTATAAACTTGGGGAGTTTTTCATTTACATTTGAGGCAGTGATATATACAATGAAATGCTTGAAAATGATCACTTTTTTAATGACAAATTGTCAAGCGGACAGACTTTTTTTTGTCTTTTGGGGGATGTTGAGGGTGATATTTGACAGTAGAAAGGCAGCAAGCCCCAGAATATTTTTCTGCTAGTTTCCCCCATGTGTCAGGATACACCATGTCAAATTTTTGTGTTACAGTTACTTTTTCAATGAGAGGTAATTGGATTACAGTTACTTTGTTAAGATAAATGGATTACAAGGCGGTATTTTCCTGTTTTCACATTTTGGGCTATTCAATTTTTTATTTTTTTTGGTAATTCCACTCATTCTCGGAAACTAAACCAGGTCTAAACCCAGGTCCAAACCAGGTCTAAACCAGGACTAAACCAGGACTAAACCAGGACTAAACCAGGTCTAAACCAGGAGTAAAGCAGGACTAAAACCATGTCTAAACCTGGTCATAGCAGCTGTTTCCCTCTAGATACAAAGGTCGTCTTGGGCTTAAATTGAAGTTTATGAACTTGGGGAGTACATGAAAAGTACATTTGAGGCAGTTATATGTGCAATAAAATGCTTGAAAATGATCACTTTTGATGACAAATTGTCAAGCGGACAGACTTTTTTTTTGTCTTTTGGGGGATGTTCAGGTTCATATTTAACAGTAGAAAGGCAGCAAGACCCAAAATATTTTTCTGTTAGTTTCCCCCATGCGTCAGGATACACCATGTAAAATTTTTGTGTTATTTGACCATTTATGCAGTTGCAGTGCTTTCATATTTATACTTACATAATTTCGCAAATAGCTTTTCCTAAAAAGTGTGTTTTTTGGGCCCTGAGACCAAACAGGGCCGAGTTGAGGTTGGTCCCTATCAACTCGTGATGGCCCAAGATATAAGAGAACAGGAAATAATAGTGAAAAAAAGGTAGAGGAGTGAACCTGGCTCCCAGCCTTTAAAAAGTACATAGTGTGGCATGAATGAAAAGAGACTAAAAAGTACATGAAGTACCTCTCACTGCAGGTTAAGTAGGCTACTCTTAACCTGGACCTTGAATGGTTAAATGCAACTTGGGACAAACTTTCTTTTACAAATTGAAACTCCTAAATTAATCCTCAAATCATTTCTGAGGGTGATGGTCCTCTAATTGCCAAAATCTTAAAATACCCCCCACTTAACCCCGGATCACGTTTCTCTTAATGGTCATTTCGAGACTAATGAATTGCCATTTTCACTCCATTAACTTTATAATGACCAGTGCAGTCCTGAGGTGATAACAGCAGGGGGCGCCCACTACACCCCATTAGGACTACGTGGAATCTACGTCATTACAGATATTTATTAAGACAGTGTTTCTTGTTTGAGGAGTTTAAAATTGATCCTGATTGGCTAAAACTGCTCTGGGCTCTTGGATAATTAGAGAAAAGCGTCAAGTTGCACGTGTCATTGGAGATGTTATTGTTTTTAAAATGGTTTGTAAAAGATATGGATAATTTGGTTTGTACTCAATGACCCAAGGGTAGAATTCTGAATCTTTGACCTATACAGTACAGTTAGAAGTGAAAATTAAAAACTGTTACTCTGTTTTATTTTAAAGGGCCTAGATTACGCTATTTTCTGATCTATAGTTTAATGTTTCTTCATCACAAACACATCTGGAGTTGTGTTTTGTTTCATTCACACATGTTTAACTCACAAACCCTGCACATTTAGGCTGAGTTCTTCTCTCAAACTGAAAATATCCTATTCCACTTTGTGATGTCATGTGGTAATTGAGGATTTGCGTGTGATGTGGCTAGTGTTGGGAAGGTTACTTTTAAAATGTATTCCCCTACAGATTGTGTGTAAATAGGTGTGTAAATGTGTGTGTGTGTGTGTGTGTGTGTAAATGTGTGTGTGTGTGTGTGTAAATGTGTGTGGGTGTGTGTGTAAATCTGTGTGGAGGTGTGTGTGTGTGTGTAAATGTGTGAGTAAATGTGTGTGTGTGTGTGTGTGTGTGTGTGTGTGTGTGTAAATGTGTGTGTGTGTGTGTGTGTGTGTGTGTGTAAATGTGTGTGTGTAAATGTGTGTGGGGTGTGGGGGTTTAAATGTGTGTGTAAATGTGGGTGTGTATGTGTGTGTAAATGTGTGTGTGTAAATGTGCGTGTGTGTGTGTGTGTGTGTGTGTGTAAATGTGTGTGTGTGTGTAAATGTGTGTGTGTAAATGTGTGTGTGTGTGTGTGTAAATGTGTGTGTGTAAATGTGTGTGGGGGTTTAAATGTGTGTGTAAATGTGGGTGTGTATGTGTGTGTAAATGTGTGTGTGTGTAAATGTGCGTGTGTTGTGTGTGTGTGTGTGTGTGTGTGTGTGTGTGTGTGTGTGTGTGTAAATGTGCGTGGTGTGTGTGTGTGTGTGTGTGTAAATGTGTGTGTGTGTGTGTAAATGTGTGTGTGTAAATGTGTGTGGGGGTGTGGGGGTTTAAATGTGTGTGTAAATGTGGGTGTGTATGTGTGTGTAAATGTGTGTGTGTAAATGTGTGTGTAAATGTGACAGACAAATCAGAGGTGAGTGTTCATGTGCTGATGCTTTCAGAATTCCTCTAAAGACACTGAAGACTCTATGGAGAAGATGTTGGGCTTAAATAACTGTCATTATTCTCATCTCCACATCAGACATTTACATTTACATTATGGCCGTTGACTTCCTGTTAGGAAATGCAGAAATAACAAAGCCCCGCCTCTTCACATTAGTTTGTTTCTCTGGTGATCAGGAGAGTTTAATTTACAGGTTTTAATGTAAATATTTGCTGCACAACATTTTTGAACCTCATGTGTGACCAGGACTCTTTTTCTGGGAGATAAATACTCAATTCAATTCAAATACAACTTTTGCTAAACTATGATGAGGGACACTGATTGTTAAAAGTCCCAGCGGCTAAATTACACCACCTGGATCTCACTACTCCTTTTCTAATCACTGTATTGACCCTCAGAAAATCACTCAGCTTTAAAAACACAATGCAAATAAGTTTGACTACTCTCAAAAAGATCACATAGCTTTAAAACACAATGCATGTTCAAAAATATCATTTACTACACTCAAAAATGTCATTTCTTCAATAACACAAGGTAAATATCTTACTACACTCAAAAATTATCGTTTAACTTCGATAACACAAGGTAAATATCTTACTACACTCAAAAGGATCACTTAACTTTAAGAAACACCATACAGGTAACTTTAACAACTCTTAAAGTATCACCTGGGGAACACTTACAACTTCACTTAGCTTTAGAAACCACTCTATGAAATGCTCTACACTCTATCTGACAACTTTTGCCCAAAACACATTTTTGACAGTGCCTCAAAGAATTTAACCAGATTTAGTTTTATACCAAAACATTGCAAATATTAATTTATCCTTAGCAGTGCCTCAAAACCTTTAACCAAATTTAGCTTTGCATCAAAAACATTGCATTTTTGTAAGTAACTCACCTAGGATGACTTGACTCGCTCATAGTGAATATATATATATTTTTTTAATAATTGAGGGAAAGACTCAACAAAAGATTCCAACAAGTGATTTGTCTCTGTCTTATTTTATCTGCTTTTTATTGTATTTTTAACAGAAAGCTCATACAAAAATAATTAGGACAAATCACCTTGCAAGTACCTTTTGGAGAAATTACCCTGTGACCAGGAAAGCTATAAAGCACAGCCTAGTCCGAATTTGAGATCTGACCTCCTTAGCCGAGTTACAGCCGGAGGGCCAATGCCAACCAAAAATCAGGATCTGAATTATTATGCGGAATTTTCTGTATTTTATATGAGGTCACAGAACTCCACCCAGGTACATGCAAAGTGATCAGTACGTCACAGATAGCACACATTTTTCAAGTACAGGCAACACTTTCTTAGAAACCACAATCTTCACCATTCTAAACCCCTACGCCTCTGCCCCAGCCAGATGTGAAGCAACGGCCACCTCGCTTCGTCGAAGGAACAGGAAGCTTCGCAACCGCCTTGCATACAGGCCCCTCGCACACCGCAGAACAATAAGTTTCATACTTCAGTGTCAAATAAAGGTCAACTGTAAAAAGAACAGAAGGTCCTTGTTTTTCCTGCACACAAACATAACGGTTACAGAAATTATTGCAAAACAACCTAAACTTTAAAAATTAAATTGAAAGAATTAAGCAAATCAATATGAGGGAAACAAATCAGATTAAATCAAAGCAAAATAAGTAACTCAGGGTAATATGGGTCACAAAAACACTTCTAATATCTAAACCAAAACACTCTTAATCTCTAATACTCTAACAGTTATTCAATTAGCAAAATAAAGCATCATGAACGTCTTCATCTGAATTCAGGAGCCCTTTTAGTGGGGCTTACACCAAAACCTTCATCCTTTTACCCCACCCGAGTGAGCTCTCCTGTGGCCGAGGGGGGGTTCACGACATCCCCCTGTGAAGGTTTTGGCGGGCGTCCCAGGACGATGTGACTGGGCGGGACGTTCTGGATGCCGCGTGCAGTTGACTTGGGCCTCTCCTCTTCCATCCTCGCAGGTGCCAACAGCTTTGGGTCCATTGTTCTAGGATAGAAGATTTCTGGACAGAAATAGGCTGCCCATCCGTTATAGCACTGGGAGGCAATCTGAGCCATTGTCTCATTGGTGACTTTTACTAACTGTGTACACGTATATGAACTATGCATTCATTTAACACGTAACGCCTATTCCCTGTACCAAATTGCCTATGATAGGCCGCAATCGAGTTATAATTACTCGTCCGCAGCATGCTAAGCAGTTCGGGAGAATTTTCTTGCATGGTTTGAGCATCGCTCCAAATAATACCGTTATAATCTGGATGTGCCGAAGTACAGTAATCAGGCTCACCGAACCCTCCATAATACCTCCATTTACAGGCTTTGTACAACCAGACTTCATTACAAACATCAGTCGTTGTTTTTTAATTACCGGGTGCTCAAATATTGCCCCAGTTAAATCAGGGTGCATTGCCGGACACTGCCACCAAGTTCCCCCAGTTTGAGAATAACCAATCAGTTCATTACCACCCTTGCTCCTGACAATGCCCCTCTCCGACTGAATCTTGATGAATTGTTTCCCCCCAGTAACATATAGTTCCCAAGGAGAGCTTGGAAGCCACAAGTTTCTCGGTACTTCACTGTACTTCGGCAAAGTAGTAGTGAAACACCCCATCCAAGCCGCTCCCGGTGTCCAATATGGGCGCGTGGGTGCCAAGTAAGGCAAGCCAAATTCTCTACAAACTACACGCATGCCGGGGTACCTCAGTTGCGGCCAATGAGCCTGTTTCCCCTCTGTTGACCTCTGGGCCCTTCGTCCCCTCTCTCATTTGGCTGAGGCTTCCTAGTTTGCTGCACACGATACATCTCAAAGAAAAACAAAACAAAATACAGATTTTAGCATCAAACCACAAATATATAAGTGCCAAACTGCCATCTAAATTGAGTATATGAGTTTTCTACATTTAGCAAGCAAAAACAAAAATTATTATAAAAACAAAAGTCAAAACTTTTCATTGAGTGCTATGACCTTTAGAGAAGTCCATCATGAGAGTGGAAACGGCCTGTCTGTTTCCTGTGTAAAATATCCTCCCGGAATGTTCATCACAAAATTTTAGAAGAGTAGACGTCCCTCCTCTCCTAGGGTTCCAAACTATAGAACCACAGAGCACTCTGGACATTCCTGGAGGAGTGGTGCCAGAAAAGGCAGAAGTTGATCGTTTTTCTCTATAGGCACTGGGCATTTCTATGTCCAAATTCTCTTCTGAAATTACAAATTTGTCCAAATTCTCTCCCAATCGCAGAAAATACACCCTCTTAATAATTTGATTACTTTCATTGAACTGTTTAAAATCGGTCTTAATCTTTTATCGTAAAAAGTAGGCCATGGAAGAGTACGATGGATTTCTCTTAAAGTCTTAGATCTTACTTGGTATTTGTACTGCATCACGGAAGCGCACAGGTCAAAGTCTATGCTTGGACCCTCTCCCACTTCCGATATTGCAGAACCTTGTAGCATCTCCCCTAATGATTATACATTTTGGTCATTTTGATTTGGATTTGGCCTAGGACATAACACAGACATAACAATCATCCATCTTCCTTCCTATTACATAAATTTCAAAAGTATTCAGCAACCAATTTGCTTAATAATAAATTCAGCCCAATATGTATGTATATATATATATATATATATATATATATATATATTATATATATATATATATATATATATATATATATATATATATATATATATATATATATACACACACACACACATACACACATACATACATATACATATATACACATATACATATATATACATGCATATATATACATGCGCGCATGTACACATATATATATCCACGTACACGTATCAATTTTCTTATCTGTACTTGATAATTAGTCAATTTCCCTTTTTTTTTTTTTTTTTTTCTCT